GGTGTCTGATGAGTCGAACTTATTCAGAAAAAAATCTTAAGAAGAAATACATGAGGTCTTTGACGTTGACCGTCCTTGCGGTCTTTTCGAAGGTAGTCTGGGACGTCCTAAAACGAATCCTATGATGGAATAGTTTGGGTATTTTTAAGTGAATTGTTCGGCTGATATCTGCACCTTTTTTACATTCATGAGGAAGATGATTATGTGGTTGATGTAAATAATATCGATAATTTTCTCGACAATAATGACGCCCATGCCCATCGACATCATCTACGATGCCCTTGTCACTGTTGCCTGTTGTTCTACAAGTTGTACACAAAACGCTGATATGTTGAAGTTTTTTCATTCTCGCCTAGGCATATACATTAGGGTGATCCTTAAATGTACGAAGCAAATTTTTACATCATATTTCCCAAGCCTCAGCCCCTACGTCGAAGCTACTATAGTCAAAGGTATCACATCTAAATTTTGTTTCCGATTGAAGTCGGTTAAAGCGTGTCGCACAACGTTCAAATTTATATGTGATATCCTCGAGTTCAATAGTATCGATTTTGGGTATTAGATGAAATAAAAAGGTGTTAATTTGTTGAGTCTCTATAGGGGAATCTGCACTTTGCTCCCTGTGCCACACGCCTTAACTGACTCCACTCGGGAACAAAACTTACATGTGATATCTGTGACCGTGGTATGACCGATTGAGGGGTGAGACTGAAAAAAATTTGCATTTAATTTTAAGGACCACCCTAATATACATACATGCAGAGGTGCTGACATACATTCATGCATTTATTTATGCATACATATTTAGTCACATATGCCAATATTACTTACACTTACTTATCTCTCCATCCCAACTATCTCCTTTCGTGGAGTCTTTATATCCCACGCGCCAATCGGAAACAATTGTTGCTTTCGCCTTTTATTACTCATAATTTAGTCAAAGCGACCACGCCAGAAAAAAATATAATAAACAAGAAAAAGCGCAAAGCATAGTAAAAATAAAAACTATGGAAGAAAGAGCGCGGATGGGGAATCGTAACTCGTTGCAAAATTGAAATTAGACAAGCAACAAGGATGAAATCACTAAATATGAGTTGAGTGAAAGTAAATCGTTGGGAGCTGCTGTAAAGTTATTAACGTGCCAAAGGAATTTTCGAAATATCTATGAAAGTTTTAAATGAATGAATAGTAACCAAGAATATAGAAAATACTATAAATAATTTAAACGGAACGAAATGGAATTTTCGAAACACGCTAAAATAAAATATCTTTCAGACTGGGCTTCCGCTTAAGGTGGGTCTTTTAGCTTTTATAAAATTCTTATTCTTACTTGCCATCAAGAACTTGTAAGTTTGGACAAAGAAACTTCAGAAATGAATGGCATCAAAGATGCTTAAATCCAGCTACTCTTTCTATATTAGACCGGAGTAAAGCCGCATTAATTTTTTTTTGTTCAGAAAGGTTTGTAAGTTCAATTAAATAGAGGCTTAGGCGCTTTAGAATTGTTTGCGTGGAACGAAATGAAATTTTCGAAACTGAGTAAAATAAGTGGGGATTGAAATATTAAGGTTAATTCGCTTCCAATTGGAGAAAGTGGACTTTAGGCTGCTCAAAAATTAAGAATTTTTTGTCAGCTTTTTTTTTAATTCAAAGGTGAGCATCTGCAATGAGTGTAATGAGATAATCGTTGAAGAATAATTGTTTTCGATGGAATGCTGAGAAATATTGGGCAAGGAATAAAATTAAATTTTCGAAACAGATTAGAAAAAATTTATTATTTAAAATTCTTTTCCTTCGCAGCTGTTTATAAATAAATTAAATGGAATATTCTAAGAAAAGTTATCGAAGGGACGCTTAGAGATTTTCAAAATAGAACGAAATGGAATTTTCGAAACAGTGTGCTTAAATGTAATGAAAAAAAACAAAGTAAATGCAAAGGTAAGATAAGATGAAATAACTAATTTTTAACGACAAAAAATGCACAAACAAGGTCTTAGTCGAAGTGTGGACCTCTATGTATTTTAAGTTTCCTTGAGATGGAATGGACTGCTTTAAGTAATAGATATACAAACATATGTAATCAGAAATTAACTAAAACGCTAAGGAATGTAGAGAAAGGAATAAAAAGAAAATTGTGAAACAACGCCTCATACGCCATGTACGCCACAGAGGACAGGAGCTCAATTTAACTGCGACTGGCATGCGAATAAATTTATGACGCTGAACGTTCAACTGACCTGCACCAAGCAAATTTCGTGCTTCAAGCGTAAGTAGTTTATGTACATGCATACATAGTACTTTTCACAAACATACATATGTATCTACAATCAGCAAAGGTGGAAAACTAGCTAACCGATTGCGCTAACTCACTTTCCGCTGAGGTTATTTTCAAGACCCCTTTGCCGCTTTCCTTGCTGTGCGTTGGCTTTTTTTTATTTTTCGCATTTTTCTCTTACATTTTTATTTTCGCTCACATTTACCGTTATACCCTTTTACAACTTTCCACTAAATGAGTTTGTCAATATTTGAGCTGCTTTCATATTTCTTTAAAAGCAAACTCTATTTGCCATAATTTTTAGTTTATTTTATTTGCAATTTTTCTTAATATTTCACACCATTCCCTGGCTTTTTGTTTTCCCTTTCGCGTGCGAGTTTGCCCCACGTGACCACGCTTGGTGATGTTGGTCACGTTTCTCGACCAACATATTTTACTCTCGCTGAAACACACACACACACACATTCACACAAGCAACACATTTCGCCAGCTAGTCCTTACGTTGATGACTGTGTCTTACATGTGTAAGCGGTCGTTCTGGTCTGGCATTTCGCACGCACAACTGTGCCGGATGTGTGAAAGGGAAAAGAATGAGGGCGAGTACCAACAATGGCAATGGCAACATATTTGCAATTTATGCCCGTTTTGGTGTGTTCGCTTGTCATAAAATCGCACTGCCACCAGTGCACACTCTCACGCACACACATACAGTGTACACTCATGTGCTTGGTGAAGTATAAAATCAAATATACTGCCAACAAATGTATACAAATAAACGCCACCATTTACGTCCAAAGAGATTTCGATCTTTGTATTCGTGTTTGTGCGCATAAAAACAGACACTTTTAAGAATATTTTTATGTTCTTGCGATTTTTAAAATGATTTCTCAACAGTTGTTAGAGACGTAAATTTTCGGTGTATAAATTTTTATTACGATTTTTGTGTGATTGCGAAGCACGCAAATATATATGCATTCAATACATAGTACGTACATATTTTTGGAAATATAAAAGCATTTTTCGGCTTAGATTGTGAACTTCAAATTTAATTTTATTCGCAGCCACTACAATTACAGCAAGGGAAAACTGGTCTAACTAGCTAAAGGAAGCTTTTTATCTTAGTAAATCGGTGATACGTACCGCATTACCCAGTGTGTTTGTATAGACGTTCACAGAGTGAAAGCTCTGTCTGTCTATTGCTATAGCAATATTTTCGTCTGATAAAAGCTCATACGTTGCATTCATTTAGTCGATTACAGTCGATGAAATACCAAGTGAAAGCTCTTTTAACGTAACTCTACTTTATTCACAGCCTAGAAAAGCTTTAGGAAAGCTTTGAATAGATCCGAGGATCCGATCATCTATTTTTTTGTAATACAAAGCTTTTGTAAATTCTTTAACACTTGAAGGCTGTTAGCTTTCATAACATTTGTGGTTTTTGAGAGCTTTCATAATTTCACTCAAACTTTCACTTGGGAAAATGGAGTGACCGTCTTTGCAAATTTTTCTCAATAATTTTCATTTAAATTTCATTCGAACATTTTTCCAAAGTTTTCATGCTACGACAAGAGCTTTCGCTTGCTTTATAACAAAGCTTATCCGCGAAAAAAAAAATTTTCATTGCTTCTCTGTATTTTTACACATTTCCAGCTTTCAAACTATTTCATGCGCTTTCACTACTAATATTCTTAATTTATCTTTTCGTATAAATTTTGGAAAGCTTTCACAACTGCCGCAGGAGCTTTCGTTATATGTAGGTATTTTGGATGTATTTTTAGAGGCTGAGAACCTTTATACCTTCGCTTTCACTTGCTATAGGAAATGGGGCGACCTTCTTTTCTAATTTTTGGCACTCTTGGTTTCTTTATTTAAATTTGGTTTTGAGTTTTGATACTAAGTACTTCATGAGTTTTTACTTTTTTGGGCACTGTGTTGTTCTTGAAGATCCTCATTCAAACTTACTCTAAGCTGACTGTATACTACAAGCTTTACTGTCTCTAGTTTGAGTCTAATAAAGGCTAAACCAAAATATTTCACTGTGACTAATTTTAGAAGGTTGTGCATTGGGGTAGTCAAAAAAAAGTAAAGTCTGAATTTTCATGCTCTCACCCCCTTGGATTTTTCTATACCGAAAAATATACCACTTTTTTATTACGAAATCAAAATATATTTAGCGGTCGCTCGAAGCGCTTAAAGTTTTCCATGTATTTTAATTTGGGGAAAAAACAATTGTTCTTCGAAATGGTATAGAAATCAATATTTTTCGATCGGAAAAGTCTGTTTCTCGTCAGACGACTTCCAATTATAATAACCTATTGGTTATTTAACCTTTTTCTAACATTACCCTTTTTGTTATATCGCCCAAAAACCCCAAAAAATGTAATGGCGAACCCATAAAAATACGTTGGTATTAAAAATATGAAAAAAACTAATGGATATTATTATAGGAAGTAAAGAATTCTATACAATTTCCACGAACATTCCCACCATATAAAATACATGGAAAACTTTGAGTGACTTTCGAATATCTAGAAATGGGTTATAAAGAAATGTAAAATTTGTTTACATTAAATTTGATTTTTTCCCTTTAAAAATATGCTAAAACAATATAATTTTATTAACTTTTGGTATTTTTACTGCGGTGGACCTTCTTGCGAAAATACCCATTAAAAAAGAATGGGTTGAGCAGTCAAAACAAGTGCTGAAGTGAAGTACTTAACATAGTTTAAAACTCCGTCTTTTCATTTAAGTTTTTGCCGATCGTGTCTCCTTTCGGCACCTTTTCTTCTGTAGCTTCTTCCTCCATTGCCACTTCCTGCGCCACCTCTTCCTTCGCCGTATATATTTTTTTCGCCGCCCTTGGTTTGAGCTTTTTATCTCCAACTTCGTCTTTCTCGTTCGTCTCCCTTTCAACTACACCTTCTCCTGCATCTTCTTGCTTTGCTATAACGTCTTTCTCTGGAATCGCACGCACCTGCGTACAAACCAATATTAGTAACATCTGCCATCTTTCATTCCAACCCCACTTAATTCACTTTCCCCTTTACGCGCTGTAACAGTCCCAATTTGCGCAACACTGCCTTTGTGCGCCTCACCAGCGGTTCCCGGTAACGCCATATCGCCGCATCGATAACGGGATTATCCAATGTCTCCGGTATATCCGGCTCTCGATAGTGTTGCATTTGACCCGCCGTCTCATTCACCGTCTGCATGCCGCAACCGCCCGTCCAATGCATTGAGTAGTGATTGTGCAGACCCGTCACAGAATTGGCATCGTGAAAGCACTTCGTAGCCATAAACGGCTCCAGGTGTTCAGCGACGCGTGCCACATGTTGCATCATATACATGTATGTTGGTACTTCATCGCTGTAGGGCTTGCGCTTCGGATAGGCCGGAAAATAGACATTGCGGAAGCAGAGTGACGTCAGACCTTCACAATCGTCGTAGCGTATATGTGCCTTAGCGTAGCGCACCAAGTCAGCCCAGCTGTGATGTTCGCCCAATGGCATTATAACCTCATCGATGTCCAACACCACAATGTACTCATGCTTGTACATATTTCGGTAGAGGCAATCGTTCAGTGGTATTATTTCGTTGGTGCGATGATTTGTTAAGCTCATTTTTATCGCCGCGTACGTGAAGTGCGGCAATGCCGGCTCGCCGCGCACCAAAGATATACCCGGCGCCGAGACAAAACCTTCGCGCTCATAGTATCGCAACACCTTTGTGGCGTTCGGATGTAAGCCGAAAGTGGGCAGCATCACATGATCGGCGCCCAGTATACGCAAAAGCTCGAGCCACTCGACCAACCGCACCGAGTTTTCTCTGTAGGGATTATACAGTGCCGTCGAGCAAACAGCAAAGCCTCGTTGCGTGCGATTCCCTTCCGGCGGTGGATCGTAGATCACGCGCAGATTGTTAGTGGCGCGCGCACACTCCGACGACACTAAGGAAACGGTATGCGGCACCAAATCCCGCACCTCCTGCGGCATTGCGCATTCAACGAATATTGGATTGTAGTACTCAGGACCTTGACCCCAGTTCGCGTACCAATTATCGCGATACTCACGCACTGGCACAATTACCGGTGCACTCTGCTCCGTAAACCACAGCTGACAGTAGCTGGGCGGATAATCGACAGACTTAAAGTTGAAGGCATTCACCATAGCGAGTATGCGCACCAGCACCACACCTTCCCAGCTCTGCACGCGCGGTCGATTGTCATAGTAGGCGCCGTATAGGTAGAAAGTCAGATTGTGGCTGCGATGCATTTGCCAGTAGTTGTTATGAAATTGAAGCTGCAAGATCTCTGGATATGGCGCACAGCTTTCATTGAAGCGTAACTCGCCATGCCAGCGCTCTTCATAGAAGTCGATTGGTAGCGAAGGTAGCTCCTGTGCGATGAACGCACGCCGCTGCTCGTCGGTGGGTGCTACCAACACAGATCGCATTTAGTGGTGCTTTTGGAGAAAATATGCGTTCAATACTTACGCGGTCTTCGATCTACTACTAGCTCCTCCGCCTCTTCGGCCTTTGCATTATAACCATTTTCTGCTTTATCGGTTCCTAAAACATCTATCTGCGTGGAAGCCAAGCTGGTCAGTATCACCCAAGTGTCTAATAGCAGAAGCAGAAGCCAGAGATGTAGACGTGTAGACAACATGCTCGTTTAAATGCTTCTAGCTCTTCATGGGTACAACAGAAATATTTTATGAGCACACAGTAACCACACACAAGGCGAGAATTATAGATAAGGTCCAAATTGTTACTACAGAATCCCATTTAGTTAATTGACAAAATTAGACATTTTGCTTCGAAAGTTTGCAGAGTTTATGTTTTAAAATCGAATTCTACGAGAGTAGCGGCACAACATGCAAAGTAGTAAATGGAAAATGGCAACTTTGATGTGGTTTCGGGGGGTATATCTTTCCCCTTCTTTCCCCTCATAGCATTTTTTTTTGTGCAAACTCCGGTACTTGGAGCAAATCTCTGAGACGTAAGTAATTGACTTATCGTTCAACGATAGGACAGTGCAATGCAGGAAGCTAGGGTTTTTTGAACTACGAAAAAGTGTCGCCTCATTGATAATTGTATTATACTTTCCTTGCTTCTCTATTCATTATTCAAAATTTTTACATTGAATCTCACATGCTTGGTGAGCAACTGGCTTTTTTCCTTTGAAAAAGGCATTCACAGTACCAAGCCAAACTAATCGTATGTAGGACGTCTTTACCTCTGTTCGTGGTTGCGTATGCTGACGGGAATTTGACAGGGGTTTGACGAGTTGTCAAAAATTTCGTCTCATCCAATTGATGTAAGCAGATAGTACTACTTTTTCCTTGTAAAATAAAGTTAGTTAGCGCAGACTTTTTTGTCCTAGTGCAGTCAACGAGTGGATCAATCAGTCCGATGGCGCTGCTGGGAGCGGAACATGATCGAAACTTGCCAGAGATATACTCCCATAGGCCGCTGGGTTTCTTTGAGCTCAGCTTTCTTAAATTCAAGCAGATGGTCAGTGCTCCTAAAGTCACTGAGTCTACGGAAAGATAAAAGTCGACTATGTTCGGGGGCCAAAAATTCCTAGTAGTCTCATCTCTGCAGACTGCTGCTTGTCTTTACTATTGAAATGCAACTGTTGTTAAATCGTCTAAATGCCTCAAGATAAGTGGTGTTTCACTTAGTGTATTTAAGTTTTTAGTTCCGAAATTTACTTGCTATCCAAGGGTGGTCGCACTGAAACTCTTGATTTTAGCGGTACCGACGCCATTCACCGTTTACATCACCGACATTATCGCTCGTACTGTCAGCTTTTTTATTGTCCCTATCTCTCCCATTTGACCCCCAGGCTGCTTGCAAACCCGTGTGAACCTGCACTCGCCCTGGATGGGGTGAAAATTACCCCAGCCGCTGACCAAAGCCACCTCATAAAGTGCCTGTTAGACCTGTGCTCTCTTTTATCTTTTAAAGTTCAATCCCGCGGGCGAGCCTAATTTATTTTACCTCATTCCTTCGTTCATATCATGATCACTAGAGGGTTTTTTGATCGAAATTAAGGTATTAATATGCGACCATTTTTTGGTTTTAGATAGCTCAAATCATCCTTTAATCAAGATCAATGCCCTTCCCTTGTAAGTATGGTGTGACACGATCGATTTGGCGGTACCAGTTTCGCTTCGCGATCGGTAACTATATTTCTGGATTATGTTGATTTCTCTTTCGCCTCATTCTTTTTTTTTTTATTCCGAAGATCAATACTAAATCCAGCCAACTTCTGATAACTTATCATTAAAAATCATAGTAAACTGAAGATCGGTACTCTACTTGCCTAGTGTTCAAGCTACGGTCGCTAAGATCAATTTGGTTTGTATTTAGATTAATACTCTTGCCAAGTCACATTTTGTTTTTGGCTCAAAAATAACTCATTTGGCGAAAGGGCGATTCTGATTCTTGTTTTCTTCATGGTTCCTCATATACTACTCATATAACTACTGTTGAGGATCGATGATCTTTTTCATTCTTCATTTGCATGATCACAAATTGTTCTTGATGGTCTCGTTGCTACTCGATCTCTCAGAGGTAAGAGATTTTGTTTTTGTGATTTGTACTTTCTTTATCGGAAATATTTCGCTACTTTACTAATTGTCTATTTTCTGAGAGCACTTTCAGAATGCAATTTTATCAATTCGTGAAATAGATTCCAAAAGGCAGAAAACAAAAGAATTCTTATCGAACGCTTGTAATATGTGCAACACAACAAAATTTACAAAGAAACAGGCTGTAAACAAATGTAGGTACACAAAGTAATGTACTTATTATATATACATATGTATGTCTATCTGCACTGTGTACTTTGCCCTAAGAAGCTAAAATGCGTCAGGCGTTTGTGACTTTTTACTATACATACATTTGTATACAGCAGATATGTATATCTGTACATACATATGTACATTAGACCGACCCGAAAAAAAAATTTCACCGTACACTCCTGAATATGGAGAATCTTTACAATGGAATTAGGGCAAAAAATTGTTTGCAAACCTAGGAGTGGTCTTTTTACATTTTTCGTCACGTTTTTGGCATTTACTGTCGGATCTTAAAATATGATATATAGATATTTTTGTCTCGATGAGACGATTTCTTTTTTTTAAGCTCATTGACCTTAAGTAGCCCATTCTAATACTTACCCACCATATCTCAGTTCTTATCACCCTAACGTACCGCCCTAATGTCGCCAAATATCATTAGGCTTTTGCTAAGGAAATATTTTTATTATTCCAATAGAACTATTTTAAACAAATTTTTTTAATTTTGTTTCTAATTTATGTTGCAGAATTTGACATGAACTTTGAATGAAGTTTGGAAAAAAATCCTACTCAAGACAAAAAATCGATACATCAAACTTTCAGATCCGACTATAAATCCCGAGGATATGACGATAAATGTAAAATGGCGACACCTACGTTCGACCAAAAAAAAATCGAAATTGCCTTCGAATTGGAATACTCTTTAGCAAAAGTTGAATGATTGTTGGCGACCTTAAATTAACTGATATTAGGGTTGTACGTTAGGTTGGTAGGAACTGAGATATGGTGGTTAAATACTAGAACAAATAAAATTGTCCACTCGAGACAAAAATATCAACATAACACGCTTTGAGATCCGACTTTCAATGTAAAACGATAACCACTAGGTTCGGACGAAAAAAATTAAACAATTTGTTATTAGCCATGCAAAAATACTTTTCACTCAGGGGTGTACGTCAAACTTTTTCCCCTCTTAAATTGGTACTGTCTAATGTACATTAGACTGCATCACTCCCCAAAAAAAAAACGGAACTGTATTTCCATTGGAATTATAAGAACTATTATATTTTAAGACTTTCACCAAAATATTTCAGAAAAATATTAAGCTGGACCGATTTGAAACACCTCCAAAAATGGAGTTTTTGATGAATAGTTTTTTTTTAATATTTTTTGAAAAAATCAACGACATAACATTATAAGTTTAAAAAATTTTCATAAAAGTATTTAAAAAAATGTTCAACGGAATCATAATAATGAAATTTTTGATGTTGTTTTTGAACTTTTTTCAAATGTTAGTTTAAGAAAAACTTGAATAACTCAGCCAAATTTCACCCATTTAAGCTTAAGGGGTATCATTGGAATGGTATTTTTCCACTCTGACGAGCGTCCTTCCAAGTTGAATTAAGATGTGTTGATATTTGAAAACAGAAAAAATTGGACGCGAATGAATTTCTTTGCAAAGAAATAAAAAGTGTGAGAAAATACTTTACCAATGACACGCCATAAGTTCAAATCGGTTAAGTTTTGGCCCAGTTATTCAAGTTTTTCTTAAACCAATCTTTGAAAAAAGTTAAAACAACGCATCAAAAAATGTTTCCGTTGAACAAAATTTGTTTATATTTTTATGCAGATTTTTTAAGCTTAAACGGTTTTGTCATCTGAGGGAACTTTTTCAAAAAAACCTTTGCTGGAAGTCTTCAAATATAATAAATTTTGTAATCCCGGCGGAACAACCGCAACCTTTTTTTAGTGATGGAATCTAATGTATATATACACATTCCTATTAATTTGTTGTTGTTTTTTTATCTTATCGATGATCGATGTCAATACGAAATACAGCAAACACGATAACTGATAAATAAAGCCAGTAAAGTGAGCGTGCAAAAATTATAAAAAAAAAAAGTTTGCTTCTATTTGAAGACCGAAAGCGAAAGTCCCCGCAAAAGCAGGGTTTCACACGCACCAAAATTGCCAAGTAGCAAGAAAAGAGGATAAGAAAGTGGTCGATATCAAAATATTTCTTCGAAAGATGTATGAGTAGTGCGGATTAATAGTCGAAACCCCCCACTCAAAAGTGTGTCCAATTCACAGCAAGTAAACCCCATTAACCGCGCTTAGAAAAACAAGCAAAAACGAAATTCGAAAAAATAATCAACTTTACAAACCCAAACGAAAACTTCACTCAAAAAGTGTCTTATGTTTGCACAGCGCCTCCAGGCACATACGACATTCTAATACTGTAAATTGATCTTTGAGCTTATGATTCCTATGCGCATACACACAAGCAAATATGCACAGTTATGTGCACAGTACTACTTATGTTGTAGCGCAAATTATCGACGTTTAGCGATAAGATTAGTATTTTATGTGTTTACTACCTCACAGCCGAGAATATCGGCGGCGGTCACCGTGAGCTGCCTTGAACGCCAGTTGTGGGCCAAAAACAACTGGCTACAGCGAGCGCAAGCAGGCAGTTCAGTCGCAGACACCAGTAGCGGCAGTTCACAGTGCAGGAAAAACGTTTGACATGAAAATGCAGAAACTACAGCTTTGTTTGTTAGCCACACTAGCCGCATTGGCCATCTTGTTGCTAGGCCAGTTCCAAGCAACGACAGCAGCGGCGGCCGAAAGTCAATTTGATGCGCTCAAGAGTCAATTTCTGCCAGCTGAGTATAAAAATCGCAACTTTACAGTGGGTAAGTTGAAAGCAAGTAGCAAAATGGCTGTTAAAAATAATAGTATGCTATAAAAAATTACTACCAAATCTCCAGATGAGCTGAAGAAAGTGTTGCGCGAGAAGTGTAAGAAAGCCGCAGGTGGTGAGGAGAATTCCACTCTTTATCAGGATATCGAGAAGGGC